GGGGGGGGAGAGAGGGAGGGGGGGGGTGGGGGGGGGGGGGGGGGGGGACGGGGGGGGGGGGCCCCGGGTGGGGGGGGGGAGGAGTGAAAACAAACAGCGGGCGACGCAGTTCGATCCGGGTTCTCCAGGCTCACCGGAAATACACGGGCGTCTGATATCACATCCGGCGGCGGCGGGTTTGTTCGGTTTGAGGACAATTGGTGCTTCCTTCGTGTGCAGCTGCTTTACCAACACACTACGTGAGAGCTCTAACAGACTGACAGTTTACCCCAGTAATTGTGTTAAAAATCTATTTCCCCCACCTTCCGTCTCCAACGTTTGTTGTTTTCAGCGCAGATTCCAGCGTCTGCGGGAATTGGCTCCTCAAACGGCGTAGGTTTAAAATGGCGTCTATCGGGTACCATGGCAACACATTTAAAGGGACAGTAAATTAATCCAAAATATTGCAGGAGTGGAAGAAAACGCAACTCTATAAACACACACGTAGCATGGACTCAATCTTACCTTTATTTGGCTAAAGAGAGAGTTGTTTCGGAGAGAAACAAAAGCAAAGTTGCTGGAAAAGCTCAGCAGCACCTGTGGAGGAGAAAACAGAGTTAACGTTTCGGGTCCGGTGACCCTTCCTCAGAACTGACAATTGATTTTTCTTATGCTGGATCTACCATTGTCATTTTTCATCATCATTCTAAACTTACGATACAATGACCACTGTATTAAATGTTTCCATCTGTAACATGATCCACTTGGCACACCTTATTTTCAAGAACCATATCTAACAGTGCATTATTCCTTCTTGGACTGGACGCATATAGCCGGAGGAAATTCTCCTGAACACCAGCATTTCTTTTTACGTGATCAGTATTTCAGTCTATATTTTGGTAATAACCACTCATTATAGCTATTCTATTGTGTTTCTCTATAACTTCTCTGCTAGTTTGTCCTTTTGCATCCTTACAATTAATCAGTAGTCTATAGACTACACCGAACAATACAGTTGCACTCTTTTTGTTCCTTAGCCCCAGCCAAATTGTTTCTGTCTTCAAATGTTCTGTGAAAACGTTTTTCTCTGGAACTGCATTGCTTGCCTTTACTAATATTGCCCTCTCTCCTTTCCTTCCATTAGTAATTTGTGTGAACATCTTGTAGTCAGGAATATTTAACATCCAGCCTTGCCCTTTGGTGAGCCACATTTCTGCTGTCACCAAAACATCACATTTCCACATGGCTGTAACTCCCCAATCTTATTTACTTACTTCATGCATTCATGTACATGCACAGTGACCTTGATTTATACCTCATTACTTTCTCCCTTACTCCAACTTCACCTATTAACTTACCATTCTCTATGCTAGTGCTATCCATCTCTTCAAGCACTTTGTGAACCTTGGTATTCCTCTTCAATATTCTCCCTTGGTTCCCACACCCCTGCTGAGTTATTTCACAGCTCTCCGAACAGCACTAGCAAAATGTCTTGCAAACAACTCAGTCCCAGTTCTGTCAGGTGCGATCCATTGGGCTTTTGCAAGTGCCATCTTCCCTGAGATTAGACCCAGTGTCCCAGGAATCTTAAGCTTTCCTGCCTGCATCATCTTTGCTATCATGCACTATCTACCTAACTATCTCTTCATTTACGTGCATGTGGCTTTGACAGTAATCTGGAGACTCATATTTGAGGTCTTCCTCCCTAAATTCTGATTACAGGATCATATCCTCCTTCCTACCTAAGTCATTGGTACTAACGTAGACCACGACCTCGGGCTGTTCAATCTCTCCCAGAAGAATATCCTGTAGCCACACTGCGACATCCTTGATCCTGGCACCAGTGAGGTAACATACCATCCTGGAATCACATCTTTAGCCTCAGAAACAACTCAGTTCCCATAACTATGGTGGCTAGCACTGCAGTCTTACAGGGACCTGCGTTAGATTCCATGCTTGGGCAACTGTCTGTGTGGAGTTTGCACATTCTCCCATGTCTGCGTGGGTTTCCTCCGGGTGCTCTGGTTTCCTCCCACAGTCCAAAGATGTGCAGGTTGGTGGATTGACCATGCTAGATTGACCGTGATGGGCAGGGAAGTATTGGTGAGCTGGATAGCCGTGGGAATTGCAGGCTTACAGGGATAAGGTAGAGGGGAGTGGGTCAGGGTGGAATGCTCTGCAGCGGGTTAGTGTGGACTCGATGGGCTGAATGGCCTGCTTCCACACTGTAGGAATTCTATGGTACACATTTTCACCAGCAAAGTAATGAATCCCTAATCAGTATTGCTGTTCCTTTATTCTTCCTCCTCTCCTGTAAAGCTGAATTATTCATCATGACAAAAACATGGCTCTGACTGCTTTCCCTAGTTAATAGGTGCCCTCAGGAGCTTCCAACTGGGAAACTGATTTGGGACTCCAGAAAACTCCTGCGCAACCTGCTGCTTCTATTGGACAGCTTGATCATCAACCATGCCCTTTCTGGCACCAGGTCCTTAAACTGTAATGTGTCCATTCGTCTAAATATGATATCCATGTGACTCTCAGCCTCATGGATGTGCCACAATATCTCCAATTATCGCTCAATTGAAGCTAAAACTCAAGCTTCTGCAGCTGATTTGATTTGTTTTGATTGATTATTTTCACATGTACCTAGGTATAGTGTAAAGTTTTGTTTTGCATGCAGTACATGCAGATCATACCATACAAAGTACGTTAGGGTAATAGAACAGAGCGAAAAATATCATGTTACGGCTGCAGAGAAGGCGCACAGAAAGTGAGATCAACATTAAATTTACAATTTCAGAGGTCCATTCAGAAGTCTAATAACAGCGGTGAGGAAGCTGTTGTTGAATCTATTTGTATGTGTATACAAACTTTTATATCCTGACAGAAGACAGTATAACTAGGATGGGAAGAGTCTTTGATTATGTTAGTTACTGGCAGCACTTCCTGCACATGTGGTCATCTAGGATGCCAGCAGGATCAATGACCTCCCACAAAATACGTACATACAAACATTCCAGTCGACCAAGCTGAGCTGCCCTATTTTAATTTTAGTTAACTTTATTCTCTTTTGGATTACTTCTACTACTTTATGATATTGGTCCTAACTTCCCTTATTTCTTGTGTTTCTCAGTTAATTAAAAGTATAACTACTTTTTCAAAAAATTGTTCTTTAATATATAACAACTTAAAGACAGTCCCTAAGAGTATTTTCTTACCGACCAATGAACTCACTGAGAAAAGTAGAAAAAAAAGGCACCTCCTCTCCATACTTCACCAAACTCCCTGTTTAGCACAATTTACTTCTTGCAGTGAACCATATTAACAACCCTTGATCTCCCTTTCCGCCAACCTAGAGTTATTTGGACAGCACATTTTTCTACATGGTCACCCCGCAGCTTAAGCAAGTACTGTCACAGATGGAAGAGTTGCCATTAGTCAGAAGAAAGATCACAAGTCAGGAAAGCCCCAGAATGCATCTCACCACAGAACAGATTTTCTGTGTTGGAAAATGGTGATAGTGATGGTGCCTCTGGAGAGTGCCGCCAAAGCCCATCTGCACAAGAAGGGAGAAGAAAGAGAGAGAGAGAGAGAGAACAATAGTGGTTGGAGACTCAATAATAAGGGGCACAGTCAAGCATTTCTGCAGTTGCAGATGTCACTCCAGGATCATGTGTTGTCCCCCTGGGACCAGGGTGAAGGGAGTCATTGAATAGATGCAGGGCATTCTGAAGGGCGAGGTGAGGAATCATGGTTCACATTGTAACCTACAACATAGTTAGAAAGAGGGATGAGGTTCTGCAATGAGAATTTAGGGAGATAAGCAGCAAATGAAAATGTAGGACTCAAAAGTTGTAATCTCTGGATACTCCCGGTGTCACGTGCTGATGAGTAGGGAGTCATAGAGTCATACAGCACAGAAACAGATCCTTCAGTCTGACTCATCCACGCTGACCGAGGTTCTCACTTGCCTACGTTTTGCCCATATCGCTCAAAACCTTTCCTATTCATCTACCTATTCAAATGTCTTTTAAATGTTGTAACTGCACCTGCATCTACCACTTCCTTTGGCAGTTCATTCCACATATGAACCACCCTCTGTGTGAAAAGATTGCCCCTCTGGTCCCTTTTAAATTTTTCTCTTCTCACCTTAAAAACATGCCCCCTAGTCATAGAGTCATACAGCATGGAGACAGACCCTTTGGTTTAACTTGTCCATGCCAACCATGTTCCCAAACTAAACTGGTCCCAATTACCTGCATTTGGCCCGTATTCCTCCAAACCTTTACTATTCAAATAATTATCCAAATGTCTTTCAAATGTTGTAATTGTACCTGCATTCACCACTTCCTCTGTCAGTTCATTCCACACACGAACCACTCCCTCTGTAAAATATTTGGCTCTCATGTCCTTTTTAAATCTTTCTCCTCTCACCTTAAAAATAAGCCCCTTAATTTTGGACTTCCCCACCCTCAGGAAAAGACCATGGATATTCACCATATCTATTTCCCTCGTGATTTTATAAACCTCTGTAAGGTTACCCCTCAACCTCCTCTGCTCCAGTGAAAAAAGTCCCAGCCTATCCTTATAACTCAAAACCTCTAGTTCTGGCAACATCCTGGTCAATCTTTTCTGAACCCTCTCCAATTTAATAATATTTTTCCTGAAGCAGGGCAACCAGAATTGTACGCAGTACTCCCAAGCATGGCTTCAACGACCTGCACAACAGATGAATGTGAAGCTGAAGAGTTGGAGCGGTGGGGAGAAGGCTTTAGATTCTTGAGTCACTGGGTTCATTTCTGGGAAGGTGGTACATGTGCAAGTCTGAGAGGTTGCACCTCAACTGGATTGACACCAACATATTTGGGGGTGGGTTGGAAGTCAGGAATGGAATACATGTGGAGATACAGTAGGGCGTATACATAGACAGGTAAAGGAGAAGAACCAAATCATTCTAGAAGGCAGTATAAATATAGTCAAATTAAGGCACAAGGGAGCATGGCAAGGCTGGATGGCATTTTTGTAAGTAAGGCAGATGAGTTGATGGTGTTGATTAAACATAGGGATGTGATATCATTGCTGTCATGGTGACATGGTTGAGAGTGGGGCAGGACTGGCAGCTCAATATTTCAGGGTATAGAGTCTTTATGTAAGATAGTGGAGCTGTGAAAGAGGAGGTGATGTCACAATATTGATCAAGGAGTCAACTACTGTACTCACACCATTTTAACGATCTTTTGATCTCTTTCCCTATAAATTTTATGCTTGCGTGCTTTTCTT